TTGGGCATCAGCCCACCATGTTGTTGTCTGACGTAGTGGGTGTGTTTGTATGTGCATCGAATGCAGTTGGCGATTCTTCTAGATGAGGAAAGAGCTTGACTTGCGTGGCAACGCGTGATCTATTTCTATTATATACCTTTGAAGATATCTTACGTTCAACGCCGATCCTTGTGTAAAGATGTAAATAAAGGGCTTTTGGTTCTCTTATGCAAGACACTCCACCAAAAGGTAGGACGAAAGTTTTCTTTGTGTAATATATTTTATTTCCTCGCATGGTGACTGGAATTGAAAGCATTGATCTTGTGATGGCACTAGTCTACACGTTGTTTATGTTTATTTATCCTGCAATATTTGCCTTTTTCGCAGCGCTTACTCTTCCTTCCTCCCTGTCATGTCGCGCGGGAGTGAATCAGTACGCTTACAATCCATCGAGGAAGAAAACAAAGCTCAATAACACCGATCGCCATGTCCCCCACCCCATGTCAATGTGTTTTGTTTATGTTACGAGTCGATCAAAAAATGGGGGAGATGGGTGGCGCGGGAGTGACCAAGAGACGTATCAATAAGAAAGTAAGGTAACCCCTAAAACATCAGATTGATGAAAGAAAAAAGAAGCGAGAGGCCCATGCTCTCCATTCCGCTTTCATCTCTGTCAACATGGCGCCTTTTTTTGTGTCCCCTAAAAATGAAGAAAAGGTAGGGTCAATGATAAAGGAGCAGAAAGACATTCAACGAAGACGAGTGACAGGGAAGATTCTCGAGGAAGACAATAACAATCCTTTTTCTGAGCAAATGATTGGTCCTTGTTTTTCTGGTTGTATCTTGGTTCATTAGAGGAAATGGTGTTACAAAAAGGGGAAACTTTGGTCATCCCTTTCTATTACACCTGCCTCCTCTTCTCCAAGTAAAAATGGTGTGTCCTCATTAAGTTCAATTTGACGGAACAACGAAAGAAGGGCAGGTGAAATGGAAAAAAACATGCGAGGCGAAGAGGAACACGGAAAAGATCTGGGAAAGACAACCAATTGAGCAACGCCTATTCAGTTTTATCTTGCACCCTTTTGAACGTGGATGAGTCTTATTACACAGCTAAATTGCTTTTTATTATTCTTCTATTGTCTCAGTGCTTTAGGTCCTCTTTCACAATATTGTCAATCTCAGTACCATTTTCGTAATCACGGCGCTTTGGTTCCTTGGAGGAAACCGAAGGAAACAAAGAAAAGCGCAAACTTGCTTTCATCACAAAAAGGGGTCATGGTTTAAGTGATTGGTGTGGTCGCTCCCTCTATGCAAGATTGGGAGAAGTGACTAGGGGTGCAGTGCTGGTGATGATATTAGTGCAGACGGTAATCTATTCCCTTCACTAAAATGAGGACTTTTTCTTCGTGATAGGAGCACATGATAGTTTGTTTCCTTGCCTTGCCTTGCCTTCGCCAAGTTCCGTTTTCATTTCCTCATTTCTTCAACCCATCCTCCCAGCCATCAGTTGGGCAAAAAAACAAAGTTTAAACTGTGCTTCAGTTTTAATATTACCATTTTGGTCCGGCGGCGGACTGTTCTGGGATAGTCATAATATTATTAGTAAAGATGTGCAAGATGAAGGGACCAAAAAGGAACACAGGGCCGCACACGGGAAGATGGGAGCACCGGCCAGTCGGGTCCATGGAGTGATGACAGCCACAAAAAAAGTAATCGACACAGTAATACAATGCAAGAATAAAAGAAATGAGCGAATGAGCGAACGTGGTTGTGGCCAAAGACGTATTGTCCGAAATAGAGAGATAGACAAAAATAGGGAGAGATGAAGGAAGAGACAACGAATGAGAGAAGGGGAGAGGGGTAAGGCGACGACGCCGTCCATGATTGTGCGGAAAAAAATCCGCACTTTTCATTTGTGAGAGCAGAACAACGACAGTGTGGGGCGGGATGTGGAGGAGGAAAGCAGAAGGGAAGGAAAGACGGGAGAGATATGAAGGTCAATAGCAGTTGACAGCACACGCCAGTGTCCGTTTATCGCTTTTCTCATTCCATTGTTCTCTATCGGTCTCTCTCCACAATTCACGCATTATCATTCGAAAGGCACGAATTCACAGGAAACGACGCGCGGCCGTCTGCACGTACGGTTAAGAGAATGAAGGCGAGAAAAAAAATCTTGTCAACATATTTCATTCTCGAACGAGTCAAGATCCAGAGGGAGGGAAAGAAAGAAAGAAAAAAAAGGTTCAGCCAAGCATCTCATCTTTCCACAAAAATGAGAGAAAGGGAAACACGCTAAAGGGTCATGGTTGGCTGTTTGTTTGTTTCTTTGTGTCATGGTAAGGCAAGGCGAGTCGAGACGAGGCGATGTGGAGTTTGCGTGGGTAGGTGAGTGGGTGCGGCAAAAACAAGAGGATCAATTGAAACAAGAAAGATTGGAGTCCCGATCCTGTCAGTCAGTGCCTGCACCTGTTTTGCACACGAGAAGCTTAAAGCAACACAAAGATGAATTTGCGTGTGCACTTGCCCCTCTTTTTAGATATTCGCGACACACCCTACCAAAAAACAAAGATACCAACTTAAAAAGTGCGAAAATACACGGCCAAAGTAATAGGATATAACCATTATATCTTCTTTTGGGGCTTCTTCCGGAACTAGGTTTGTTTTTGTCGATTAGAATACTAAAGGCACTCCTCACAATGGCTTTAGTTTAGCGTCTTCCAGAGCGCTTCTCAGTGGAACAAGATAGGACTCGCCACTCCCATTTTCCTTTTGTTCGTTCACCGTTCGTTCTTTCGCTCGTTTGTTCGTTTTTACAATTTTTTGGTCCTTCTTCTCCTCGGAAGAGACGAGAGAGAAAAGAACGAGACACAAGTCGAGGAAAGAAGGGAGAGAGAAAGGCACACAATATCGAAAGTATCCAAATATGGCCCTTTTTGCCCTTCTCTCTCCTGCTCTCTTGACTTTCCCTATTTCTCCCAAACTAAAGAACGGTTGGTCCCACCTTGCATTTAAGGATCAAGAACGTTCCTGAGTCAGAACAATGTTCAAGAACGAATAGGATAGGATTGCATAAAGAGTATGCGCAATTGGATGGAAAAGGGTCCTGTCTTCGCTACTCTCTGTTCTCTTCTCCCTTTCCTGTATTTATTTTTCAACGACCCACCCAAAGTCTCGTCTCTTCAATGAGACATGCATGGCATAGGCGGCCCAGTGCATTTTGTTGAGCGAGTGCGTGTGTTTTATTTTTTCTTTCAAGGAGAGGTCATTGTTGGACTGCATCCTTCTCAGTAACAACCAATAATAACATTTACATTTTTTGTGTACCTTTTCTTCTTGTCCCGCATTGTTGTTACATTGCATTGCATCCATGTTGATATACTTTATTGTTTGCTAAAATGGACGCCGGCCCATTTTTTGGTTGTTTCAGCCGGAGTAGTACTCAAGAAAATCGCGGCGCGTTTTGGTTGATGGCTAGGTTATGCATGGATAATGAGTGAGGACGGGGACGCCGGTCTCACTCGTTGTTCCCACCTTCGCCCTCCTATCAGTGCCAATTCAAGAGAGCAAGCCGGTTGGTTCACTTTCTCTCTCCTCTGGCCTTGGCCCATTCATCAGAACCTAAATGGAAATCGAATAAAGAGAGAAAACAAAGAAAAAACAATAGCCCGTTTCGTGTTTGTCAGTATGCTAGAAAAGGCGATCGATAAAGGTGACCTACTGTTATACATCCGATGACCCGTGAACGAAAGGCGAGAATAGTCTACGCGATGCGACGAAGCAATTACTATCTCTCAACATGCACGACACAAAAAGGCAATTACCACTCTGACGGTCCTTGGTCTCAAGTGCACGGGCGTCTCCATTTTTACCATGGAGATCATCCCGCTCCTGTGCTTGCCTATGCCGAATGGCCAAAATCTCCTCCGGCTTGAGGTCCAGTTGCGAGAGGTTGGACTCGGAAAGGTGGTGCAGGACCTATTTTTGCGTGTAAATCGAGACAAAATGGGAGGCAAGGTAGCATTCTCTTTTTACTGTGAGTAAAGTGCGACTAAAAACAAGAGTAAACAACAATTACATACAACACAAAAGACAGATGTTCAATGCAAACAACATTACACAAAAAAATGATGACGACTGTCCTCAAGTGATTGTACACTTGAGTGTAAGTTAGAAAAAAAAATAGGAGCGTGCCAGACATCCCTTTTTTTTTCTTCTCTCCTATTTTATGTTCTCTCTTTTTTTTTTTTTTTTTTTTTTTTTTTTTGCTGAGTACTTCATAGTCCCTGGTCAAACAAATGGAAGCCCTCGTCCTGTTTGCCGAAGAAAAAAAACGCAGCTCACACAGCCCAACTTGTACAGGGTCTTCATTCCAGGCCATGAACAAAAGTGGATAGCAAACATGGTTGTTCGCTCAACGCGGAAGCAAAAAGTTAGCAAAGAAAGGAAGGGGGGATGGAAACAACAAAAAAAAAGCAATCTAGCCCCTGGCTGCATGAATGCCAACATTTCCCTTATTGACGATGGAGTATTCAAATAGAGGTACAGAAAAAAAAACTAAAGAGTGTTCTTACCTTTGCAAAGACAGGCTCTCGGATGGACCTCCTTCTCTTGACTACCGCCGAGTCGTAATCAACGGTGTATCTCCTTGTTACATCAACCACCTCCTCAGCTTGTTGTTGGGTTTGCAAAAAAAACACAATTAAACCAATGGCGAGCGATTACCCCAGCGAGGAGGAGAGACAGAGCCAGAAAACGACACATGAGGGATAAACAAAGAGGAAAAGGGGAAGAAATTAAGTGAGAGAGCCAAAGCGAAAAAAGCACCTCCATGGAGCCTTCGCTAATCGAGAATGAACAATTTTATTCAATTCTCATTTCCTTCTTCCGTGTCATTTTTTCTCAACTCTTTTTTTTTTCGAACCCCCCGTCTATTGGTCTGTCCATCTGTAGCCTTGTAGAGCTTTTCTACCTCAACCTGACCCAAACCTTCGTTGACTTACCTGAAAAAGACACGCAATAACTTAGAGTTTTGCCCCATCCAGTCGTGTAGAGTAACGGTTGATCATACGCGGCCTCGCAGGAGTCGCAATGGATCCAGCGCCCTTTATGCTCACTCCAAACCTCGGTCCAAACATGGTCCGTAGTGTCATGCACAAAGCGCGCTTTGTATCCTAATGCACGACAGCAAACCGTAAAGCACTAAATTTTCAGGGTATGTGTGGTCGAAGCGGGACAGAGGAGGGGTGATAGCACAAGATAGGAGATGTGAGAGAAAGAAAAGGGAAGGGCGTGGAAACACGCAAAGAGAGAGAGAAAAGAAATGCGCAGTCAGTCGGGTACGAATCAAATGACGGAGAAGATCAAACTGTCCTTGGTAGCGACAGAGGACGATGAGCACATTCACAGCCAGAACAACAAATTATCCAATTCGCCACATGGTAAACAAAAGGGGTAGCTCGAAATGGTCAAATATGAAAGTGGGTAATACGAAAGCCCGCAATTACAACCACCAGACAAAAGGTACAGCCTCTGTAAACTTAGTGTAGAACAACGACATGGATAACAGGTAACAGATTGACAAAGCTTACGTTTGCCCACTCGCCGCATCGGCCTCGACGCGTTTCGAAGAGGATCTTGGGCATCCCGCCATATCTCGGAAAGCGAGTGATCTGGCGGCAGTCTGGAGCGGTGCACTTGTAGGTTTCGACCATGCCCGCACCCTGTTCGCGCTCCTGAATCGTAGGTGCGACGCTACCAATGGACGTTGTGCTAGACTGAGACAATTTCGAAAGAGGTGAAGATCGCGGAATTGGTTACCATTAGCTTCTTTTTTTGTGAGGTACAGAGTGACAGAGATGTCGCTTGGCACGTCAACTTTACTTCGCAGCGGGTACAAGGAGGCTGGTTGACCCAGGTGAAATACTCGTTCTTGAACCAGTGCAGGAGTCGGCTAAATGTAGTTTGTGTGCCATTGAGGGCGAGCAAGCAAAGGGCGATAAATTAGAGTGGGTAATATTTAGTGTCGATTGTCGATATTCTGTGCTGGTCTGCGATCGACAATGCATATGGCGACAAATAGTCCATGTGTTCACATACCGAATGACAATATCGTCGAGGTTGTCGTCAGGAAATTCATCCGCCATCGCCTCAGCCTCCTCGAAGAATCGACCAATTGGCATCTGATCACTCGCCAGATCCTACTCGAGAGATATGGCGAAGCAGTCGTGAGCACGCATTAGCACATGTGGATATCTTATCTTGTCTTTGGTACTGCACCTTTTTTCACTATCTCAATCCTCCAATTGCTCGTTCTATGCGTCGAGCCATAATTGCGTACACTCTTGGCCATGTTCTTACCAATAACTCACGCTCCTCGAATCGAAGGACAGACGCGTTGGTGCCCTTGAAAATGTTGACAAAATCGACTTCGTAAATGGAAGGGTCAGGGATTGAGTTGAAGTCATGAGCAGTGGGACCAGCCGTTTCTGTGATTCCAGTCGCAGGCGCTGCTGCTGGGATTGATGTTGATGTTGTTGTTGTGGAGGAGCCATTTCCTTCCTGAGTAGAAGCATTCTTGGTGGTTTCATGGGCATTCAAAAGGCCACCGAGTTGGCTGGCCAAGTTTGTGATGTCGATGGCTCCAGCAATTGTGTTTCCATCAGTCGACTGGGATGGCGTTGTGCGATTGGTCCGTTGTTGTCTCATCGTCACAAACTGTCTCGCGAGTTGCTGAGCGAGGTCCTGAATCTGTTGCTGGTCTTGGTCCTGGGGGTTCATTGCTTGTGTTGCTGTGATGTTCGTTTGTTCAGTGAGTGCAGCGATGGGCGAAGAGAAAAGCGAGAGCGAAATGTTCACGAAATAAAAGGGACTTGCTTTGCATCCCACTGAAGGGTCAAATTAATTATCGCTCACTCAACGACTATTCAATGGCCCTAGAAGAACAAAAGGTGTTCTTTCCCTTTCGTCACCCACCTTCTGCACTGCACCGTACCGCACGCTCCTTTCCTTTACCTCGCCACCTCTCTCTTTTATCTCAATTGCGATAATCCTTGCGCCACCACATGTTGTGTCTTGGCCTGTTGATTTATTCATGTCTTCTTTGGGAGGAAACAAGGGTTCTGTTGCGTTGGCGTTGACTTAGTCTAACGGTAGCGACAATGGCTCGATGGACTCGATCGGTGTACTTTCTACAGACAACAACAGATACAACAGATAAAGGTTGGCTTAGTTTGACGTGAAGATTGGTTTCAAAAAAAAAACTCAGGCTAGTTCGTTGAAGGTTGTGTATACATCAATGAACAAGAGTGGGGAAAACCTCCAATAGGACAAGTTAAAACAGGAGAACAAAAAACAGCAGCATGAACAGTCATGGATTCTCGGGATAGTGAACAATACAAAACGCACAAATGAACAAAGAAGCAGAAAGTAGACGCTGTCAAAAAACGAACCATGGCGAACCATAGCAATGGCGAAATGTTTACAGCCATCGTGTTTACCGTTACGGTGTGTATGCATGATCAAAGATGACAGTGATACTTCTCTACTTCTGCCCTTTATTATCCTTCTCTTTTCACTGGGGTTCCTTCGTCTACTTTCCCGTCTCTAAAGTGTTGTCTGGAGAAGAGACAATTGGGCCGAGCTTTGATCCACTGAAGCGACCCTTTGGTGTCTGGCTGTTTTCTCCCCCTGGGAGGATTTTTACCTTTTTAACATTATGTTCCAAAAAACTGGGTAATCCCTTCCTCGCATAGTTTTCTCTGCTATTTGTTCTACTTGAGTGTGTTGAAAAGAACCCATCGCTGTGGAAGGTCTCGTCTGTCGTACCTTCTTTAGAAACACATGAGAGGCGACAGATGACAGCACGGGCTTGGTCAAAACAATACCACGCCATGTTTACAATCGGGCATCAGGAGCAAAACTCTTTCCTTTCGGGAGACTGTTGGGAGGAGAAAACATAGAGTTCAAACAATGAGAGTTCGAAGATAAAAAAACACGCCAGCAGTAATTGAAAATAAAGAAAGGCCACCATCGACATCGACCTCTTCTGTTCGCACTCCTAGTCCAACAATGCGACGCAATGAGAAGATAGCGCACCGAAAGAATTCAAAGCAAAACACCAAAACAACTTAGTAGCATCAACAAACCACTCTCTTCATGCCCCAAACAATCAAGTGTGTAAGGTTGAAAAACAAACGCAGAAAAGTAAAGAAACGCAAATGACTGTGCAAAAAAAAACGGACGGTCTTTTACTCAATTCATAGTACCTCTGCCTGAATCGCTGCATTTTGACTGGTGTTGCCTTCTGGCTTAGAGCTTGACACATAATTATTTTGCAGAGCTTGCGTGCATGTTGTTGTTGCCTTCTGGCCATTGTCGGGCAGGCAGAAAAAATATGAAGCGGATAACGCCGCAATCCTTTCTTCAGCTTCCCGAGAACGATTTTATCCTCTCACAATAATGCGGAAGAAAATATTCGGAGCGGAATTATTGAGAGGCATCGATTGTTTCTAGTTGCGTCTTATGCGGTATATTTTCCTTTACGTCCTTGTCATTTTCTCTGGTGGGTACCCGCTGATTGAGAGTAGTCGTCAAGGCTGGTTGAAAAAAGGTAACATGAAAAAGAGAGAAAATCCAATGAATGAACAGATGGATGTGACTAAGTTTGAATTAAGAAAGAAATCTGTTGATGCTCTCATAGCGCCACCGTTAATGTGTGGAGAAAAGAATTCGATCAAGAGAGGAAAAGAGAGAGCGACAGGAATAAAATGAAGAGAACGCCGTCTGAACCTACGCACATCGTCGACAAAATGAGCGAGAGAGAGACAGGCGCGGTTGGAGGAACTGAGTAGGTAACAGAGAGAAACTTATCTCGACCATTGATTCGTCATTCATTGGTTCTGTTCAATCAACTCACTAGGACGACTATTCGTTTTGTAATATAATTACTTTGTTGTTGATGACCGTCGGTCAGATATACAAAGCGACAACGATGGCAACAACAACGACGACAACAAACAAACGCTAGCGACAACACCTTTCTCGAAGATCACACAAGAGGCAACGATCAAGAACCAAAACTCACTAAACCGGCTGAGAGAACACGCGCATCCAAACACACACCATCTCCTTTTTGGCTCGGTTTGCCTTGCGATGAACTTGCTCACTGGAAGCTATATCCGGAAGAATCAATCCTTCCTTCCCCTCGCACACACACAACTCCAGTTCCTCCGCATCGTCATCCGCTTTCCCTTCCCTCACATTTCTCTTTCTCTACCAAACAATCGCGCACTCGCACACCTCAATCCCAGCCCTTTTGGCATTTGTTTCCTAACTTTATGCCCTTGTTTTTTGTTGTCACCCAATCTATGCCGCGCTGGTTGCGATTGTACAATGTTCTCTTCCTGCCAACCACACGAAACTGCGAGAGAAGAAAAGGAAAGAATTCGGCAGCATGGACAAAAGAGTTCGAAAAGTTAATGAATCGAAATCATAAAGAAAACAACAATATCAACAGCAATAACGGCCATTCATTCTTTACTCAAAACGAAATTCGATGACCCAAGCACTCTCACACACCCACCCAACCACGCACACAGCAAGAATTTCCTTCTCTCCTCTCTCCTTCTAACGCACCTGCAGCGTCTATCAGAAACTCAGTCTATTTTCTTCTCTGCCTCCCATTCCCACCCTCCTCTCTCTACTTTTTTTCCACCCCTCCTTTTCTTATAACCTTGGGGTCCTTGTCCTATTCTGTCTCATCCTTGTAAGTTACTAACACCCTTGAAAAAATAGTAAGAGGAGAAGAAATGAGAAAAAACTCAAATGATTTTGCGCCGCATCCCAGAGACGGATGCAGTGTTCACACCGTCATCGTGCTGTTGCATTTATTTTTTCTTTTTGGTTGGTTAGTTCAGAGAGTATGGGAACAATTAGGTGCATTAATGGAAAAAATGTCTCCGCCTTCTCTGTCCACTACAAACAAATAACAAACAGAGTTCCCAAAAAAAAGTATAGTGCTATTTTTTTTTCTCCTCTCGCACTTTCTCTCTCCATCCTCTTGCAAGCAATGCAGGAATGGAGCAATGCAGCAATGCAGCAATGCAGCCAATTTTCTTTTTTGTGGTTTCTATTTTATTTACTCTTTGTTTTCTCCTTTCCTTCGTTCCTCTCCTTCACTTTCTCACAAACACACCCTCTCCTTGTCGTCATGAAAACAGAATTAACATACAGACGCACACCCAAACAAAAACCTGACCGAAAACAAAATACTACTGCCTCCCCGCCCTTACTCTCATACCTGAACTATCGTCTTTCCTGACTTCGCGTCAAATTGTCTTCGACCACCCATGAACCTAGGATGACTAGATATTGCAGCTATAGATTAAGAATAAAGGAAGCAGAAGAAGCAAAGAAGAAAAGAGCAGCAGCCACATCATTAACAACAACAAAGCAATGGCACGACAAACCAACAAAACTACAGAGAAAGAGGTGAGACTAAAAAAGAAGGGCAAGTAGGAGTAGAAGAATAGGAGGAAAAAGGCAATAGCAAGACAACGGCTTGAGATATCAAATCTTGATACAAAATAATGTGTACAGTCCTTCTGGCCTTTATGCTCCGCATCTCTATAAAAATCATATCATAGAGGGATGTGGGTGTGGGGGGGATAAATGATGAACGTACAGTAAGACGAAAAACCATAAAAGTCTTCCCCAAAGAGAAGACAGAGAAGGGTGTAGGCAAGCATGACATGTTGGTTGTTTGTGTTCTGTGCTATGCAACCACAGGTTCGGTATGATTTTTACCTTGGCCCAAGAAAAAAAGCACGCCTGGAAAATAATATGTCGGAGGTGAATGGGAAAAAGGGGGATCATTGCATGGAAAAAACGTCGCTCTGGGTTTCGACATTGACACAGGGCATTACTCATGCGCAACTGTTCGACTGATCAATCAAGCAACAAGCATACAAACAAACAAACAAACAAACAAACAAACAAACAAACAAACAAACAAACAAACAAACAAACAAACAAACAAACAAACAAACAAACAAACAAACAAACAAACAAACAAACAAACAAACAAACAAACAAACAAACAAACAAACAAACAAACAAACAATACAAAAACAAACTACTCTTGTACCTTCGGGTTTCTCAAATCTCTTGCTTGTGATTCTTTGGCTGATAACACGAAAGCCTTTCAAGAGGAAAAGGCACCAAAGGTACGACAATCAACTACTAGAGAGACAAAAGGTTCGCGTGTGGAGGTAGATATCAGTTTATTTGTTCTCTCGACGACAACCTTAGACATGGGAACGCAGTTGTTATTTTTAACATCCTGCCCTTCTGTGAAACGTCATGAAAAAAAGAGCAGCTCAAGCCAGCGAAGATCATTAGTATCCTCGTTCTCTTCTGAAGATCTTCACCCACCTCTAATATAAACATGGTTTCACCGATACAAAATCTGGACAAATCAAGCGCCTGTCTGATCAAAAGAACACAATTATCCCTAGCGAGGGCGCAGACGATCAAAAAAGAAACATTTGTTGCTGGAGGCATAGGCGTTCTGGGTCCTTCTCTACACCCCGTCTTCTGGTTTGCATTTTCGAAACATAAACATGGGGTCATATTAAACTCTTATTGCTCCAGTCTATCACTCCTCTATTTTCAACCACGGTTGACTTCTACTCCACGCGTTAAATCAAGTGGCTGAAGGATGACGAACAAAAGTTATCATCAGTGGAGGTGTGTGATTTTTTAGGGAGCAAAAAGGGATA